TCAGAGAGAGAGGGAGACACAGAATATGAAACAGGCCCCAGGCTCTGAGCTGTCAGCACAGAGCCTAACGCGGGGCTCGAACTCACAGACTGTGAGATCATGACCCAAGCTGAGGTCGGACGCTCAACCGACTGAGCCACCCAGGCGCCCCATCCATTTTTATTTTTTTTAACCAGAGGGAAAAATACTTGCTGTCTTTGTGTGTGGGGAGGATGGGGGAGTGGTTGAGGGGGTAGCAGCTTTATTGAGATATAATTCATATACCATAAAATTCACTCATTTGAAATCTACAGTTCAGTGGTTGTTAGTCTCTTCACAGAATTATACAACTCTCAACACTGTCATTTTTAGAACATTTTCATCACCCCTAAAAGAAACCCCTACCTATTAGCAGTCACTCCCATTTTTTTCCAACCCCACAGCCCTTAAGCAACTAACTACTAATCTACTTTCTGTCTTTACAGATTTGCCTGTTTCTGGACATTTCAGATAAATGGAGTCATATAATATGTGGTGTCTGTGACTGGCTTATTTCACTTAGTGTAATGTTTTTAAAGTTCACTAAAGTTCTGTAGCAGATATGAGTACCTCTTTTCTTTTTAGGGCAGAATACTATTCTGTTGTATGGACATACCATTGTTTATCCATTCATCAGTTGATGGGTTGTATCCACTTTTTGGTTATTATGAATGTTGCATGAACATTCATGTGCAAATTTTGTTTTTTTCCTTTTTTTAAAACTCGTGCATAAGTTTTATGTCGAAATATGTTTTCATTTTTCTTGATAATATACTTAGGAGTGAAGTTGCAGAGTCATGTGGTAATTGTTTTTCCAAAGTGCTACATACACCCTTTAACATTCATACCAGCAGTGTGTGAGACTTCCATTTTCTTATATTAGTTTTTTGATAATTTCTTTTCTGTTTTTGCTCTTTCATTCTGTAATGACAATTGGTTGGATATTGAATCTTCTGCATTGGTCCTCTTAGGGTTTTTTGTCTTTGATTTCCTATTTTTCATTTCTTTATAATTCTAAGTTCCACTTGCTAGGGAGATTTTTCTTAGTTTATCTTCTAAACTTTGTAAGTTTTATGGTTTTTTGCTATAAAAATTAGAATTCTTATGAGGTTTTCTTGTTGACTAGTCCTTTTTTTGTTTGTTTGTTTCTTAAAGATTTTATTTGGGGGCACCTGAGTGGCTCAGTTGGTTAAGCATCCAACTTCAGTTCAGGTCATGGTCTCGCGGTTCATGAGTTCAAGCCCCAAGTCGGGCTCTGTGCTGACATCTTGGAGCCCGGAGCCTGCTTTGGATTCTGTGTCTCCCTTTCTCTCCGTCCCTCCCCAACTTGTGCGTGCTCTCTCTGTCTCTCAAAAATAAAATTTAAAAAAAAAAAAGGAAAGATTTTATTTTGTAAGTAATCTCTACACCCAAGGTGGGGCTTGCAGAATCCTGACATCAAGAGTCATACTCTTCCACCAGCTGAGCCAGCCAGGCACTTCTAATTGGTCCTTTTTTTCCCCAAGCCACTCTGTTCTTATTTTATGGCTGTAATATCTTCTCTTACCTTTCTTTCCAAGGAATTCCATTTTTTGACATTTTCTTCTTTTCCCTGCATTGTCTTAGTGTCCCCTGGGCCCTTTTTTTCTCCTTGGTTTGCTTATTTTCTTTTTAGTATTGGAGATTTCCTTCACATGTTTGGTGTTCTTGACGATCTGTTCTTAAAGACTGAGCCACTAAAAAGCTGATGTGAAGCAGAATTTACTGATTGGCTTCATCTAGTAACGTACTGTTAATGTTTAGCAACAAATTTGGTGGAGGAAAAGGCCCTAATTTTTAGCGTTTCCTAATTTCTGTGGTGTAAATATTCCCAATATACCCTATTTTAAGCTATCAGCATGTTGCTGAATGCAAGATTGTGAAGAAATGCATGTAATTAATTGACTTTTATGAGCTCCTCTCAGCTGGCTTTAGCAAACCACTGGCTTCACTCCAGAATAATTTGTCCACAAGTCAGCCTTCTTATTGGAGGATCTCTACATCTCAGCATCTGTAAGTCTATTCTCTGGAGTCATTTGGTATCTCCAGAAAAGAATCCTCCAGGCTCCTATCTGGAGGGTTTATCTCTAGCTTCTGACATCCTGAAAGCAAGGCAAGAGAAAGAGGCTGTATCTCTCCCCTGCCATCACTGTGTCTGATGTATTCTAATCCAGAGCCATGGCTATTCAGTGTTCTAGGGAATAAACCTGCTGAGTTCTGGTATGTGTGGGGAGGAGTCACTTGGCTGCTTTTGGAGTGTGGAGGGAATGGGGACTAGTCTGTATATAGACTTGTAATACTTTCTCAGATTTTAGTTCCGTGCCTCAGCCCAATCTTTTATGTAAATAGCACTTCCAGAAGCTGGATCTTTTGGGGGCTGCAAGGGGCAAATCAGTTTAATTCTCATTGGTGTCCCCTTTATGGGCACTTATGTTGTACATTCCATCTGCAGGTCAGATCCCACTTTTCCTCTGTTATCTCCTTGGCAAAAGTTTACTTTAAAAGTTTGTTGGAGGGGTGCCCGAGTGGCTCAGTTGATTAAGCATCTGACTTTGTCTCAGGTCATGATCTTGTGGTTTGTAAATTCAAGCCCCACATTGGGCTGTCTGCTGTTAGCACAGAGCCTGCTTCAGATCCTTTGTTCCCCTCCCTCTCTGCCCTCCCTCACTCATGCACTCTCTCTCTCTCTCAAAAAATAAACAAATAAAAGTTTATTGGAATCTCGTGTCTATTAAATTTTTCTCTCCTGTTGTCTTTGTGGATTTATATGTCTTTTTTCCCTTTATTGTTATTTTAGTGGATTTAGGGAAGGAGAGGAGGTCATTTTTGGATTTGATTTGCCATGTTTAATCAGAAATCTCTCTGTTAGGAGGTGCCTGGCTGGCTCATTTAGTAGAGTATGTGACTCTTGGTCTCAGGGTGGTGAGTTCAAAGCCCCATGTTGGGCGTAAAGCTTACTTTAAAAAAAAAGAGAGAGAAAGGGGTGCTTAGGTGGCTCAGTTAGTCATCTCTTTTCTTCAGCTCAGGTCATGATCTCATGGATTGTGAGTTCAAGCCCCATGTTGGGCCCTGTGCTGACAGTGTGGAGCCTGCTTGGGATTCTCTCTCTCTCTCTCTCTCTCTCTCTCTCTCTCTCTCTCTGCCCTTCCCTCACTCTCTGTGCATCTCTGTGGATGGTATCCATTTGGTTTCATAGAAAAGATAACAATGCAATAATAGTCTAACAGAATAAGGTATACCTGTCTATGATTGTAATTCATTTTATTTTTGGTCAGCAGAGGAGGCCAAGGTATTGACTGATGAAAACTCCAATTTTTAGCTTCAAATTCTGATTTTACTCTTCACATAGTCCAGGATAAATGATAATGAAGTGGGAAGAACCCAGGATTTGGACATGGAACCTGGAAGTTGAATCCTGCTTCTGGTGCTTAGCAGTTGCATGGCCATGAGTCAGCATCCTTCTGTATAGAAGGAGGATAAAATCCATGCCCCATTTTTTTCACAGGATTAATATAAGGACTAGGTGAGATAATGGAAATAAAAATGCTTTAGGAGACTGTGAGTGAGGAAGTATAAAGATTCACTTTTGTTTTCCCACCTAATTCAGAAGAAAATATGAGAGTGAGGGATTGGCCTGATTGATTCCTGCCAGGTAGGAAGTACAGAAAGTAACATCCTCAGAAAGGTGTGAGTTGTGCTCAACCTGGTTAATGAGTTGATGTGTTTTTAGTGTTGTTCTCACTCCTCTTCCTCCTCACCTTAGCCCAAATGCTGATTCCATGGCTTCTAATAGAAAGCCTGACTAAATATGTGATTCAAGCAGACACAGTTGTCCCAGCAACAGGAGCCTACTCTGCCAGTGTCATGGTTACTCTCCCCCACTTTTGTCTTCCCCAGATGCTGCTGCAGATTGCTGATGATTTTATCGAGAGTGTGGTGACAGCAGCCTGCCAGCTTGCTCGGCATCGCAAGTCCAGCACCCTGGAGGTGAAAGATGTCCAGCTGCATCTAGGTATGTGGTCTTGTTTCTCCCTGAGGCATTCACACTGTTGCTCCTTTAGGACCACCAGAAAGATCTAGTCAGAGGAACCTTCATGTCAGAATTAGGCTATTGGGCTCTGGGATGTATGTATTCATTCCATAGCAGATTTACATAGAGAAGGGAAACCCATCCATGGTAAGGAGAATGAGCCAAGGCATTGGGTTTGCCACTTTCTGTCTGTATCACCTTGTCCTTCCTACCAACTTTCTCTTAGAGCCTGTTTCCTCATTTGTAAAGTGGAGATCATAATATCATCCTTGTAGAGTGATCATGAGAATTACGGGTTATGTTTGTCAAGTGACTGGCACAGGACCTGGCACAAAGTAGACTTTTATAAATGTAGCAATTATGTCTCCACCATTTAAATAATGGTGTTTCTCTTCCAGTTTTTAGCCTATTTATGCATCGCCCCCCTCCCCCAAATTGTAATCATAATATACATATAATTTTGTGTTCTGTTTTTCTACACTAAATTCAAGCTTGGGTTTTTCTGAGATAACATTGATAACCATAATTACTTGGGAAATAAACAAGCCCCACTCTGCATTGGTTACAATGCAGTTCAGAAGAAAGTGAACAGTCTTGTGAGTACAGAGATAGTCAAGCCAACTGAATGAGGCAGATTGAGGGATTCGGTATAGATCAGCCCATGACTGATTACTGAAAAAGGCTTCCTTCCCAGTGTCAGGAAGGTATAGCTTAGGGAGACGCTGGTAGTCTTGGTGGAGTAAATAACACACTTCTGGTTAACGTTGCTGGTATTAGTAATAGAGGACAGATATTCCAGTTATGTGTTATTGGGTAACAAACTGCTCCAAGACAGTGGCTTAAAACAATAACGATGGTTTATTTTGTTCATAAGTCGGGGGTGACTGGGCTTAGCCAGGCAGTTTTGCTAAGGGGTTTCTCACATAATTAAAGTCAGGTGGTGGCCGGGGCTGAGATTGTTTTGAAGGAAGATGTATTAGTCTCCTAGGGCTGTCATAACAAAGTACCATAAACTAGGTAGCTTAAAAAAACAAAATTTATTCTCTCACAGTTCTGGCGGCCAGAAATCTAAAATCAAGGTATCAGCAGGGCCATGATCTCTCCAGTGTTACTGTGGAAGAATCTTTCCATGCCTTTTCCTAGCTTCTGGTGGTGGCTAGGAATCCTTGCCTGCATATAGCTGCATCACTCCGTCTATGCCTCTGAGTGACCTTCTCTCCTGTGTGTGTCTCTTGGTCTGCCTCTTCTGCTCTTCAGGATGCTAGTTATACTGGATTAAGGGCCCACCCTACTCCTGTATGACCTTATCTTAATTAGTTACATCTGCAGTGACCCTATTACCAATATATTCTGAGGTGCTGGGGATTAGGACTTAAACATGTCTTTTTCTTTTTGAGGGACACAATTCAACCCATAACAGGGTTTCATCATGTCCAAGTCTGATACCTGGGCTAGATGCTCTCAAAAAGCTGGGACTCCACAGGTCTTCCTTTGTCTGCAGACTCCCTACATGATCTCATCCCGTGCAGTCCCGGGATGGCTAGACTTCTTTTTTTTTTTTTTTAATTGTTTTTTAATGTTTATTCTTGAGAAAGAGAGAGAGAGAGAGACAGAGTGCAAGTGAGGGAGGGGCAGAGAGAGAGGGAGACACAGAATCCGCAGCAGAATCTAGGCTCTGAGCTGTCAGCACAGGACCTGATGTGGGGCTTGAACTCCTAAACCGTGAGATCATGACCTGAGCTGAAATCGGACGCTTAATTGACTGAGCCATCCAAGCGCCCCTGGCTGGACTTCTTACATGGTGGCTATAGGCTCCCAGGATGAGTATCCTATAACCACCTGGCAGAAAGTGCACGGCTTTCACTGACCCAGTGTCTGAAGTCCCTCAGTGTCACTCCACTGAATTCTGTTCTTTGAGGTAATCTCCACTCCTTAACAGGAGGCATGTAAAGGAATTTGCAGACATGTTTTAAAACCACCATAATGCAAATGGATAGAAAGTAGAATGGTGATGATGAGGGGCCGTGGGAGGGGGGAGATGGGCACCGCTTTAATGTGTACAGAGCATTAGTTTGACATGATGAAACGTTTTGGAAATGAGTAGTGATAATGGTTGTACAACAAGGTGAATGAGCTTAATGCCGCAGAACTGTATGCCTAAAAATGGTTATGGGGCGCCTGGGTGGCTCAGTCGGTTGGGCGACCGACTTTGGCTCAGGTCATGATCTCGCGGTCCATGAGTTTGAGCCCGCATCGGGCTCTGTGCTGACAGCTCAGAGCCTGGAGCCTGTTTCAGATTCTGTGTCTCCCTCTCTCTCTGACCTTCCCCCATTCATGCTCTGTCGTTCTCTGTCTCTAAAATGAATAAACATTAAAAAAAATAATAATAAAATAAAATAAAAATGGTTAAAATGGTAATTTTTATGTATATTTTGCCACAACCCTCCCCCACACAACAGATTATATTACTTTGAGAGTTTAGCATTCCTATTTTTAAATTTTTTTAAGTTTATTTATTTATTTATTTGAGAGAGCATGTATAAGTGGGGGAGGGGGCAGAGAGCAGAGGGAGCAGAGAGAGAGAGAGGAAGAGAGAGAATCCCAAGCAGCCTCCATGCTGTCAGTGCAGAGCTGATACTGGGCTCACTCAGTCTCACAAACTATGAGATCTTGACCTGAGCCGAAATCAAGAGTCAGATGCTTAACTGACTGAGCCACCAAAGCACCCCAAAATATTTTGTATTTTAATTATTAGAAATAACATTGGAATGTTAGTTTATTCATTATGGGTGAGAAGTAATTGTCACAAAGATAGGAATACTCACAAGTCTGCATTGCCAGAACAGCTTCTGTAGCAGGCCTAGGTGGAGACCGATGCATAATCAGATCGCTTGGGGGGCATGGGATCGGAGCAAGGGGAATTGAGGAACCTGGTATTGAATGGCACCTGACCACCCAGGTCTGCTGCACACCACCCCCAACAAAGTTAGACTTGCAGATGGGGATGTAAAATCTGGACATCTCCTCTCTTCTGACCGACTGGGATGGGTCCTGCCAGGTTTGCTTCTCACCTGATTTTCTGTACTTGCGTAGTTAAATAACCTCCCTTTCTGACAGACAGAGTCTTTAGAAATGTGGAAGTTTAGGAGCACCTGGGTGGCTTAGTTGGTTAAATGTCCATCTCTTGATTTCGGCTAAGGTTATGATCTCACGGTTCGTGGGTTTGAGCCCTGCATGGGGCTCTGTGCTGACAACTTGGAGCCTGCTTGGGATTATCTCTCTCTCACTCCCTCCCTCTCCTTTTGCCTCTCTCCCTACTCGTGCTCTCTTTCTCAAAATAAATAAACTTAAAAAAAAAAAGAAATGTGGGAGTTCAATGAGATAATGTACATGGAATGCTTTGTACAGTGCTGCTTTATTTTTATATTTTTAAATGTTTTTTAATTTATTTTAGAGAGAGAGAGACAGAATGCAAGCAGGGGAGGGGCAGAGAGAGAGGGAGACACAGAATCCAAAGCAGGCTCCAGGCTCCGAGCTGTCAGTGCAGAGCCTGACTCAGGGCTCGAACTCATGAACTGTGAGATCATGACCTGACCCAAAGTTAGACACCTAACCAACTGAGCCACCCAGGTGCCCCTACAGTGCTGCTTTATACCACACATTTTACTATACCTTTTAGTCACTAAATGATTGTTGTTGCTGTTACATTAATGTAATACAAAATATAAATATACGCATATTTAAAATTTTTTAAATTTTCATTTATTTTTGAGAGACAGAGAGCAAGCCGGGGAGGGACAGAGAGAGAAACAGAGGATCCAAAGCAGACTCTGCACTGAGACTGGAGAGCCGATGTGGGGTTCAAACTCACAAGCTGTGATCATCACCTGAATCGAAGTCAGACACCCAACTGAGTCACCCAGGCGCCCCTAAATATATACATATTTACATATATTGCTACACATACTTAACATGTGTGCATTCTTGCCTGGTAGCTACTATCTTTTTTTTTTTTTAAGATTTTTTTTTTTTTTTAAGTAATCTCTACAGTGTGGAGCTCAGACTCACAATCCCGAGATCAAGAGTCGCATCCCCTACCAACTGAGCCAGCCAGCCTGGCTGTTCTCTTTCTTTAAAGACACTCTACATATCCATATCCTGACCCACTTTTATTGATTGTAAAGTTTAATTCCCAGAGAATAATCTTTTTTAAAGGCTCATTTTTTTTTCTAAGTTTATTATTTTTGAGAGAGAGACATAGCGTGAGTAGAAGAGGGACTGAGAGAGAGGGAGACCCAGAAGTTGGCTCCAGCCTCCAAGCTGTCAGCACAGAGCCCAATGTGGGGCTTGAACTCGGGAACTTCGAGATCATGATCTAAGCTGAAGTCGGACACTTAACCAACTGAGCCACCCAGGCACCCCGGGAATAATCTTAGTTACACTTTCTTTTTTTTTTTTTTTTTTTTTTAACGTTTATTTATTTTTGAGACAGAGAGAGACAGAGAGAGACAGAGCATGAACAGGGGAGGGGCAGAGAGAGAGGGAGACACAGAATCTGAAACGGGCTCCAGGCTCTGAGCTGTCAGCACAGAGCCCGATGCGGGGCTCGAACTCACAGACCGTGAGATCATGACCTGAACCGAAGTCGGACGCTTAACCGACTGAGCCACCCAGGCGCCCCATTAGTTCCACTTTCAAGGACTGACAACAAATATTATTTGCAGAAGGCTTCAGATATTTTTATTTTCAAATAAATATTGGAAGAGAGCTGTATATAAAATTATTCTAGAACCAAACATAAATCATTTATTCACCCAATACTGTACAGTAGACACAAAGTATAACTATAAAATCACTAATACTCAATTTGATTTAAGTAAGTGGCTGCCTGGGGCAAAACAGATTTGCAAAACAAATGTTTTCAGTGCTTTAGGGCATATGATAAAGTATCTTACTCCTTTTGAATAGGCTTATTCCCTAAATAATCTTGTGTAGGTATAATTTTTTTATATTGGGTATACTTAAAGTGCCCCGCACTTTTATTCATGGGTTTGGGCGTCCGTGTAGCTATGCCAATTACTGACATACTCTAATAAACAAAATCTCTTTGCCCTCTTGGAAACTTTAGGGACACTCTTACAGGGATGACCATATCCAGTGGCACCAGAACACAGGGCTGTGCTATGGACATACCTATGTCTATATCCATATCTCTGTGCGTTTATCCCAGGCTCTGGGATTGCATTATGTCATTGAATGCTTTCAACCACCCTATGACATGGTTATTACTGTTGTTACTACCATGTAAAAGATGAAGAAACTGAGACCCAGCGTCATACAGCTCTACAGTGAAGCAGCAGAACTGGGACTTGGCTCTTAACTCCAGAATGCTCAAAATGCCTTTCTCCTCCTCCTCTTCCTTTGGGTTTGAGAGGAGTGACTTTGAACATAGGAATAAGACAACTGAAGGTGCCTGGCTGGCTCAATGGGGAGAGCATGTGACTCTTGATCTCAGGATCGTGAGTTCAAGCCCCATGTTAAGTGTGGAGCCTACTTTAAAAAAAAAAAAAAAAAAAAGACAACTGAAGAAACAAATGACTTTTCTGTTCTCTTGAGCTGCATGGAAACCTTAGGGCTCATAACTCACAGCCTGGACTCATTTCCCTCTTTTGTCTTTGCATGTAGGTCGAATGGTGTCATTTCAAACCTTGGAGGCACCACATGTGATTCCCCCATTTGTATTCCATAGAATCCCTCTGCAGGGTTACTGCTAATTAATATAGCTGATTGCTCAGATTAGTGCTCCCTGACCCTTGTCCAAGGGTCCCCCTGCACTTTGATGCTGCCTTCCCTGTCCCCTTATCTCTGTGCTGGCCTCTTCCTTGCAGAACGCCAGTGGAACATGTGGATCCCTGGATTTGGCTCTGAAGAAATCCGACCCTACAAAAAGGCTTGCACCACAGAGGCTCACAAACAGGTGAGGAGCTGTCAGAAACCCAGGGGAGTCACAGCTGATCCTTGAGCTGTGTCTCCAAGGGAGCAAGACAGCACACACAGCTACTATCACTGCAGTTGTCACTTCCCTCACACAGTAAGCTCCACTCCCTGGACCACAGATCAGAGAGGGCAAGAAGCACAGGGCTCCATGGGAGAACAGTGAGATACATCTGTGGTACTTTGCTGTTCCCACATGTGGCCTCAGTTTTTTCTCTCAGGCCTGATGGGCGCCACTTAAAGCTGTTGATTGTAGATTCTTCTAATAGGGACAGAACTCGCCCCTCCATGTCTCCCTAATGAAATCCTCCTGCACTGTTGCTGTCAGAACATCATATGTGGCCCTCTGGGTAGAGGGCAGTTTAAAGAAAGGAGAGATAAGCCATACTTGTGCAGGAGGGTCGCGCCCAGACTGCCGTGCTAGGCATTCTGGCCTCTGTCCCAGCTTCACCTTTGTTCTCTGCCCCTCTGACTGCAGAACTGAGGGGTCAGTATGAGAACTAACTCCACTTCTGCTGTGAACAAGTTGTCTCTGTCATTGGTCAATCTGATAGCAGTGATGGCTTCCTCTTGACAACATCTTAATTTAGCTGGTGCTCTGATTTCAAAAGTGAGTTCTTTCCAAGCTTAATGGGCATAGTTGGGTGGTTGTAGCTGACTGTCCCTTGCTTCCTGGGATCTCCGGAGTGTGTGTGTTTACAAAGCTCACAGAGGAAGCCCTACACGGAAGCCACTGATAGCCTGAATCAAAAGATCACAGTATTCCTCAGAAGGCAGTCCTTCAGACAAGGGATGGTCATTTTGGCTCTGTTCCCAAATTATCCACTTTTCAGCCCTATCTCCCTCCCCGTCCCCCTCTCTCAGCAAGTATCATAATATTAGGACAATCTCTTGGTCAAAGAGTAAGCAAAGCCAATCAGTAATTTGGCCAGTGGCTGGAAATAGTAAAATTTGAAACCTGTGACCTGAATGTTTCCCTGATGGGTTGTGGTGGAAATTGTTAGTGTCAGTTTCCTTCACTATAGGTCATCAAGAGTGAAATATCAGCTCCCTTTATGTGTGGCAACAGTCTTGAAACAGTCCCCTTCCCTATTTTCTTCATCCTCAGAGAGATTGGACTCTAGAATCCTCAGAGATTAGGAGTCTAGAAAACATATGCTTTGATGACCTATCCCCTAAGTCCCCAAAAGGCAAGAGCTGTCACCTTCTGTTTTTAACTTTCTTGCCATCCTGCTAACCTACAGTAGTTTGGGTCTTTTGGTCAACAGAATGGACCTACTGGCCTGTCCAAACATCTCTTGGGGTCCCGAAGACTGCTCTTAAGCTCAAAGGAGCCTGCTGAGCTGCGCTGTGCATGTAGGTTCCCAAGGGCTCCAGCTTGTGGTATAGACCATGCCACACATGGGTGACTAGGACAGTTCCTGACTCTAACCTGTGTTATTGGTTATTTCACTCTCCTTTCAGAGAATGGCATTGATCCGGAAAACAACCAAGAAATAACACATGGAAAGGTCAGGGAATGGACAACAATGTATTTGGAGATACTTGAGCTGAGACCTCAGCCATCTCATCCTTGGATTTTTTTTTTTAATGCTTTACAGAGAAGCATATATTTTTTATTAACAGTACAGCAATATCTATAATGACTGAGAGGATCTGCCAAAAGAATAAAGCCTCCTATCCCAACTTCCGGTCCCTTTTCCCTGCCGTCTCAGAGAGGAACAATGTATCTTCCAGAGAAGATTTTATTTGTGGTTTATTATATAAGTGATTGAATATGGAACAAAGCATTACGGTCTTGTTTGGTGAGACAGTATTAGCAGGATTTGTAGAGGTTTTTGTTTCCTTTTCCCTTCCCCTTTTCCCTGTACTTTGTAATGTCAGTGTTTATATGAATATGACTTTCATTTGCTTTTCCAGAATAAAGAAGTTATTAATCGAAGAACACAGGGTATACGTGGCTTGTAGCCTTTGAAAGGCCAGAGAGAGTTCAGAGGACAAGCGAGGCTGGATGTAGCTCTCTGTCAGCAGGTGGCAGCACCACTATTCATTCTGTGAGGAGAAAAAAAACCCAGACATTTTTCTATTATTTTACTCCAAGGAAGGCCATACCGTCAGTAGGAGTTTGAGTCCAGTTTCTCTGCCATAAGAACGGGACAGGGTGACTCTCATGAGCCCCAATCTCAAGAGTTTTGGCAAAGTCTTTTTTGACCTGCTCTTCTAGAACTCCTGATGTTCATCCTTGGCCCCAAGAAAGGATGGCAGTAGCTTGGGGAAAGGCCCATCTGTGCAGGTGCCTGTCTGTTCTTAGTTGTTGATGTCCCTGATCCCTGTATTTTCAACATCATGCAGAGGAAACCAGGCACCTTAAGAACTCAGGGTCATGACCTTCAGTGGTACCTAGCATCACCCTGTCCTGAGCCCAGTGTAGCCCTTGTGGATTGTGAGGGTTCCTTGGGCCTCAGGGGGCGTGGGTGTTCCATCCAGAGATCACCAGCATGGGTATACCCACCTTGTCCTGCTTTTCTCCTCTGCCTTGAATCTTGGCCTGAGATGGGACCCTGCTTTTCATTCCCTCCCACTTGGAATTTGGCCCCATAACCCCTCTCTTAAGTGAGCAGCCCAAAGGCTGTGCTGATGCTCCTGTTGCTCTTGGCCAAGGTCTCAACATGGCGAGCACCCAAAGAAGCAGCCAGCTTCTCTTCCTCCAGCGTCACCTGTTGCTTGGGTACCAGGTCACTTCTGCGGCCTACCACCAGGAAGAGGATGTTGAAGAGTTTCACTTTTTCCAGAACCTCCTGATACCACTGGGTGACATTCTCAAAGGATGTTCTGTTGGTGATATCAGACAGCAAAAGGCCTCTCGCTGAGTTCCGATAGTAGGAGCGAGTCACTGACCTTGACAACCAAGAAGGAACCCAGAATTAGTTTTGAAACCTTCATTAAGGACAGAAAGGGACAAAAGAATTGAGCAGTTTAATGGAAAGAGCTGGGGTAGAGTCAAAAGATCTCAATTCTTGATCAGCTGTGTGACAGGTAAGTGGCTTCATCCATCTTGAGCCTTGTCCTATCTGTATATGGAGGGGCTTGTTCATTCAGCAAGTATTTATAAGCTGGACCTGGGCCTGTGTTGGTGAACAAAAACATGGAGCAGTCCTGCCATAGAGTGGGTGTAAAACTGCCTCTGTGCCTAGGGCTGCAAAGGAGAGGTTCACAGGACTGGGGGCAGTCGGTCTGACCAACTGAGTTGAGTGACTCAGGTGAAGGCGTGGAGATCTCTTTGAGGGAGAGAGAACTGCATGGAAGCCAGCCCCGAGGCAGTGTAGTGAGGTGAGTCAGGCCAGGTCATGCAGTGCCTCGTAGGCCCCAGCAAGAGTGTACTTTACCCAAAAGGTAACAGGGGCCACTAGGGGATTTTCATCAGGTTTGCAGTTGTTTTTGTTTTAACAGAATGCCAAGATTTTATTTATTTTTTCTCTTTTTTTTTTTTAATTTTTTTTCAACGTTTTTATTTATTTTTGGGACAGAGAGAGACAGAGCATGAACAGGGGAGGGGCAGAGAGAGAGGGAGACACAGAATCGGAAACAGGCTCCAGGCCCCGAGCCATCAGCCCAGAGCCTGACGTGGGGCTCGAACTCACGGACCGCGAGATTGTGACCTGGCTGAAGTCGGACGCTTAACCGACTGTGCCACCCAGGCGCCGCTCTTTTTTTTTATATTAAATATAATTTATTGTCAGGTTTGCAGTTTTAAAACATCACCCTGGCCAGGCAGTGGAGTACAAATAGCCAGGAGGGGGGAAGGGAGAGGGCAGGTGTGGAAGCAGAGAGATTCATTAGAAGGCTGTTGCCTGGATGGCGGTGGTGGTAGTGAAGCGGAGGGCAGGGGGGATTCTGAAAGATGGTTACACGGCGCACTCACAGGCTTTGATGACTGTGTGTAGGAGTACAGGACAGGGGCACCACCAAGTGATCTGTGAGGCATCTTCTGACTTGGTGTGGCCATCCTTGGTGCAGCTCACCCGCACCCTGGGTTCGAGGCCCTCTTCCTCATTGACTGAGAACCATATCCAGATTCCCAGAGCCTAGCCCAGTGCTGAGGAGCTCAGGGACAACAGGGCTGATGGACTCCAGCATCCTTGTAGAGGATCCTTGTAGGGTGCTTACAGGTGCCTCATGCTGTGCTAAGTGCCTTCCATAGATAAGTGCATTGTGTTTTCCCAGCAAGTCTGAAGAAGGAAGAATGTGCTTGGCCTGTGTCACACAGTGTAATTGTAGTATCTTATCTAATCCCATGTTCCCAGGAGGAAACTGAGAGTTAAAAGTTTAACTTACTCAAAATCACACAGCTTGTGTTGGTGCTGAGGCTTCAGCCAAGTCCATCTGACTTCCGGAGCCTGCCTCTGCCCTGTCTCCCTAAGTCTTATGGAGACAAAATGGGGGTGACTAAGAACAGCATATGCAAAGGCCCAGAGGTGTAAAGAGGTCAGTGCATCATGTGGCTCAAGCACAAGGTGTAACACTGGGAGACGATGTCCAGAGATGAGCAGCAAGTAAACTTGAGAGGTGGACAGCTTGCAGGCAATAGTGTCAAAGTCTTCAGAGGCTGCTCTGTGTGTGTGTGTGTGTGTGTGTGTGTGTGTGTGTGTGTGTGTGTGTATCTGTGTATCTGTCTGTCTTGCAGGAATGGGAGGGTGTAGTGTTGGTGGCCCAGAAGGCTGGCCTTGGGCTTCCCACCCCTCTTCAGCCTGAGCAATACCTTTTCCTAATTGGGGGACATTTTTAGGACTAAAAGATAAGAGGATTCTGATGCTAAAAATAAGCATATAAACAAAAAGTTTGAAAACTACTGTCCAGGTGATGGGGAGCCAGTGGAGGTTTAGGGGGAGGACTAATGTGATTGTGTTTCCATGTTAAAAGCCTTGCTCTGGCTGCCAGTGTGGAGAATGGAGTTGGAGGCAGGTGGGAGGGGTACAGCCAGGAAGTTGCTGCAGTTAATTTGAACTAAAAGTAAAGGGATATGGCATGTGAGGTTTTCCTAGGAAAGTATTAACCAAAAGATAGAGGTAGGGTGTGGCTGCAACAACAGGAGTGAGTTTTGAGGACACAAAAGGAAGCATCTGGTACCAGAAAGTCATCCTGGAAAGTCCCGTGTGCCTGAATGAGGGGAAGCAGGGAGGAGGAGGCCAGAGCTGGACTGAAGCCTCACAATTACCTATAGTTAAAAAAGGCCCCAGCATCACCCAGTGCTGCCCTTTATTTTACTGGTAAGAACATTAAGGTCTGGAGAGGTCATTATGACCTGTCTGAGGTCACTGGGCAGGCTAGGACTCAGACCTGTGCTCTTGGCCCAATGTCTTTCCTTCTCATGGAAACTGTGGCCTTGAAATGCTAGAGTCTAGTGGGGCAAAATGATAAGAGACAGCAGAGCCTGAAATCTCAAAGAAGGGAGCCACTCAGGTGCCCTAAAGGCTCAGAGAAGGAACTGATACATTAGGTTGGGCCAAACCTTGAAGGATGAACAGAGTTTTGACATAGATGGAGAAAGGACATTCCAGACAAGGGATGGGCACATGAAAGACCCAAAGGGAGCTTGTTAACAGAAGGAAGTTAACACTCATTGGGCACTTAACACATGTCATCATATTTAATCCTCTAACAAACCTGTGACGTAGGAATTGTTTTCATTTTACCATAAAGGCTGAGGCTCAGAGGTAGAGAGATTAGACTCCCACCCCCAATATCTTCAGTTCCAGCTTCATGTGTGGAGAGCAGGATGGGTCTTCCCTCTTTACCCACTAGGTTTCAGTGGCTCCCAGGGCAGGCTGGATCTTCAGAAAGGGCCTACAGGTAGCAGACTTTGGCTCTGTGCCTTCTAAAGGCCAAAAAGCATGGATCCAGGCCTGGGAGCTTGACCATGCGGAAGCTGCTATGGCCAGAGAGGGTTTAGCCAGGGTGCTGCTTTGGAGAGGGAGTTTTGTGTGTTCAGACTAGCCTAGGGATAGCCCCGAAGGGACGATTCTGGAATCTCACCCTTAATAAGAAAGCAGAGCCCAGTTCACATCTCCGGGTCTGGAGGCAGGGAGCAGGGTGGGGGTGCGGTCAAGATCTTTTAAGATCTTTGGTAGAGTCTGGAATCCTTATTTACCCAGTGTTTACTTTGGTAGTCTCTGTTCCCTTACAGTGATTAGGAGCAAAACCCTCAGGGGAAGAAGGGGACCTCCATTTTGTGAATTCCTACTGTGTGGCCAGCACTGCCTTAAATTTCTCATCTAATCTTAAGAAAGAAAATTTCTTTTTAATCTTTATTTTTGAGAGACAGAGACAGAGACAGAGACAGAGCATGAGTGGGGAAGGGGCAGAGAGAGAGGGAGACACAGAATCCGAAGCAGGCTCCAAGCTCTGAGCTGTCAGCATAGAGCTTGATGTGGGGCTCAAACCCACAAACTGCAAAATCATGACCTGAACCGAAGTCACACGCTTTAACCAACTGAGCCACCCAGGAGCCCCTCATCTAATCCTTTCTAAAACCCTGTGAGTTAGGTATTACTATCCTCTTTTTCCAGAGGAGTCCACTGTGGCTTGCAGAGACGAAGTGAGTTCCCCAGGGTCCCACAGTTACACAGTGGAGCTGAGAGTCAAACTTGACTGCAAAGCTTACCCTACTTTTGGCAGCTAGGATGATACTATGGGTAAGAGGTGATCCTTGGGGTGCCTGAGTAGCTCAAGTTGGTTAAGCATCTGACTCTTGATATCATCTGACTCTCAAAATAAACTTTAAAAATAGTAGTAAAAGAGGAGGCAGTGCACAGCGAGACCCACCCTGGCCCATCCCCTATGGGGAAGAAGCTAAGAAACCCACCTAGACTAGAAACCTCCCAAGAGCCCTTGGAAGAAGGGATTATCAG